AAGTAGACCGGTCTCGGTTGGCTCAAAACATTCCCTCGTCAATCCATATGGTCGAAGATCGAACCCAGGTCGAGTTCTTTGATCGTGCGAACTCAATCCCGTAACGGCCCTACCCCTAAGGTTAGAATCCCGAGAATGCGCATTTCCGGGTGAGATCTCACTATAAGTGCATTGATCAAATTCATTTCCTAAATCCCGGGAAAAGGATCGAAAATTCAGACTGTTACAAGATCCTAATTCCTCTCCCTCTCTCCCTCTTTCTCATTCAACGACCATGGATATTCTTGGCTCAAATTCGAGGTTATCGACCTTCTTCTTCACCTATTGGAAGGTCCACGATCGTGATTTCGAACCTCTGCTGATATCAGATCAGAGAGTTCTCACATTTTATATAAAGAGAGAGAGAGTTTTTGTACCGGGGCATTGTGGAGGATCCATGTAAATCTAATAGTCGAGTTTTTGTTCTTCGTTATGTGAGAACACCACAAAAGTCATCGAGAAAAAGTATTTTTTTTTCTTTCTAGCAAAAGTACAGCAAAAGTCCTAAACATTTAACCAGTCGATCAATTGAGCCTCCAACATTTAATTTTAGTTGATCGAGTCCTACACGTTTTTAGAAACGTGCAATCAAGTCCTTCGTGCGTCCCACCAGTTAACACTTGACGGCACTAATGCCAGGACAGGCAATAGGTTAACGACTCGATTGTGCATTTTCCAAGACGCCTTAGGGCAAAACCTTTAGGATTCCCATTGCCCTTACCCCGGACCGTTTTCTTCGCAAATACCCTGACTACACATTGATTAAGCAATGATGCAATATACAACGATACACTGAAAATTTACAAAAAGAAACATGAAATACAGAATCCTTAACCGGGTAAGATCTCCATGACAACTTCAGAATCGTAGTAGACTTGTTCCACAATGACGGATGAAGCTTAAAGATCTGCGACCGTCACTCGATGACTTGAACCAAAAACCTAAGACGTTAATAAAGGACAACGTTAGGTGAAAACTTTACCTAATCACAGAGACCGAGAGAGAGAGAGCATTGATTCACGGCTTTGCTTGCTCGTACAAGTATTGGACAGAACTTGGTCCACTTTCTGAAAGAGCGTGCGGAACACTTTCCGAGATGAACTTAGGACTTTTTTGTCAGTGAATTGTTTTAAGGCAAGCGGAAAGTTCACGTCAACGTTTCTAGAGTTTGATACGAAAATATTACAAAAAAAATAAATTTAAAACTTATTGTACGACGATCAATTCAGTCCTTAATTTTTTAATTTGATCAATTTAATCCTAAACCTTTTGACGATTTGTCAATGTAGTCCTTCCGATCAATTTTAGTCGGACATCACTGGCCGAGAGTGGCAAGACAAGCGCAGATTGTAGACAATTTTGGCAATTTTTATAAATTTTTTTATAAAACTTTTTTTTTTCACCGTGGGCCAGCGACCCTCGCCGGCACTAAGCAAGGCCGTGGACTAGCAACGAGACATAAGAAAAATGGGGAAAAGTAAAAAAAATCAAAAAATTTTAAAAAATTAGAGAAATTATTCATGTCAACACTGGCCATGTCACGCAAGATGGTCGGTGTTCATGTCAGCATTTTCATGTCAAAATTGGCCGAAAGGACTACATTAGCAAATTGTCAAAATGCTTAGAACTAAATTGGCCAAAATGAAATATTCGGGACTTAATTGACATCCGTAAAATTGATTTAGGATTTTTTGTTATAATTATTATAGTTTGATACTTCTTACAACATTTTAGCCTCTCATGACATTGCATGTTGAGATCTAAGTCGTAAGTACTTGTTTTCGTATGTGATTTGGATCCAAGACCTTCATTTTGGGCCAAACATGAATCACTATTTTCGCAAGTGATTGAGCTGAGAGACAACATAGTCGTCCAGTCTGTGTAAACGATTGGTGATGCCCGCAAACCCGTTCTCTTCGGGCTGATCCCAAACTCTTCGGTTTCTCGATGGACCTGTGCACCACAAACAAGAAAGCCTCCTTGGTTTTATTTGAAGAGAACCCTCAGATACCTAAGTTAGTACTAGTAACGGGTGATTCATCAATTTTCGTGGTTCTACATTTTTGTACGGGCACTTCGATTTCCTACCATATATTACTCACACGTGGGTATATATAAAAGCATTTGCATGTATGTACATTTGGGGTTTGATTGGATCAATGTCAATGATAAGAAAGATACTCAAAAAAACTGTCAGATGAAAGCTATAAAAGAGTTAGAGACAACCCAACAAAGATCGAGCCTCGTGCAAATAAATCTCAATTCGAGACGAAGCCCTTTTGCTGGGCCGCACAAGACCAAAGCCCATCAATGCATCGGTTAAATGCACTTGAATATCTTCCAAGACCACTCCAGCACATCACGATGTGTTTAATAATGACTTTTGATAAGGATTCCTTGCATTAAGGCCCTCTTGCCGAGTTACGTGCCTTAATGAATGATCCAATTGGACTGGTGACCCATGTTGATTAACAAACTTAGCATTTCTTTTTTTTTTTTATGAGGAAAAATTATATAAATAGTCCCTGAACTTTAGTCTATTGTTCAATGTTATCTCTGAACTTTTAATTTGTTCAATATGGTCCATGAACTTTAGTCCAATGTGCAATGTCATCCATGAACATTAATTTTGTTCAATGTGATTCTTGAACTTTTGGTACATGTTCAATTTAGCCAATTAACTAAATGGAAATATTCAATGTTATCATTCCATTAATTCAAATTCATTGACAACACTAAACATTTTTATATAGTTTAGAGAATAGATTGGATACATACTGAAATTTTATGGATCACATCGAATAAATTTAAAATTCAAGGGCGACATCACATATTGAGATAAACTTCATAGACCACATTAAACAAATTATAAGTTAGGGACGGCATTATATATTAGACCAAAATTTAGACATCATTTGTGTAATTATTCCTCATTTTAAACAATGAGGGCTCAACTTGATAGCAATAAGCTTTCGTCAGAAATGGTGGTCCCCAATCCGGACCGCGCCGAGCGGGTATAGCCACAACTCTCAGGAATAGCTCCGAGGAATTAGAATCGGTGAGGTTTGAAGTAGTAAAGCTGTAACATGATAGGCGTCCGTGTAATGTACTATCGGCAAAGTTATATTAGCTATTTCCAAGATACCCTCATTTCTTTTCTCCCTCTTGCTCTTGCTCTAATGTGTTAGATTATATTAATATGTTTTTTTACGGGAATTACACAATTAGTATGACTATAATGTTTAAACCTAATTGCCTATTTTATGAGTATATGTTTTTTGTCAAAATAACATTTCATTCATTTCCACATATACACAAAAGAGAAACAACACAGTCTAACTAAATTAAGACAAATCCTAGATAACTTTAAAACAAAATAAGTTCTAGATAACAAGATGAATCATCGGATTAAAGTTACGGGTCACTCGCTCAAAAAACAAATGCGTGACTTCTTCTAACCAAAATCGACTGCCGATCACTGAATTCGTCTTCAATAATAAGCACGCATTGAGATCTCCATTTGTTGAATGGCTTTGCCTTTTGGCGGTGCGTGCCAGCCTAGATTCGGTATCCCCAACACCATAGCCATTCGGAGTAACATGATTGAACGAGCATTGTTTGACACTTGCGCGAGTGAGACCTTCACAAAGCTCCTCCGATCTCATTTGAAAATGGACATGTACACCAATGAAACTCAAGGGATGTGAAACCCCAAAATCATACGCGCAAAAAAGCTCCGCAAAACGAGAAAAAAGCAAGAAGAAAAGATATAGAGAACCAAATCAACCGAAGAATAAGGAAAGAGGAAGGGAGGGAGAGATCTAGCTCAAACCCTCCCTTCCGTGGAAATTGAAAAAGAAAGTTGTGTGAAAATGAAAGTAGAAATATTCAAGCGTGGCGTTTTGTTATTGAAAGATAGCTTTGACCGTATTCTCAATAATTGAGGTTAAGAAGAATCTTGTGAACGGTGATTGGATTGATGATAAAATAGAATCCTAGGTCATTTGAACTTGAAACGGTTCTTGCGTCCATGAACGTCGCATTCGTCGTCATCGTTTTCACTACTTCATTAAGGCATCTCCACATTTGTCGCAACAACCGAAGAATAAGGAAAGAGGAAGGGAGGGAGAGATCTAGCTCAAACCCTCCCTTCCGTGGAAATTGAAAAAGAAAGTTGTGTGAAAATGAAAGTAGAAATATTCAAGCGTGACGTTTTGTTATTGAAAGATAGCTTTGACCGTATTCTCAATAATTGAGGTTAAGAAGAATCTCGTGAACGGTGATTGGATTGATGATAAAATAGAATCCTAGGTCATTTGAACTTGAAACGGTTCTTGCGTCCATGAACGTCACATTCGTCGTCATCGTTTTCACTACTTCATTAAGGCATCTCCACATTTGTCGCAATAATTTCAGAAAATGATTCCATTGAAATTTGAGTTTTAAATATTTATCATCTCTATTATTGACTTGGACGTGTAAAAAACGGTAACATAATATACCTAATTCGTAGTCGATGCAAGTCGCCTAATGCTCCAATTCATTTCTACTCACACATCAATCGATTGCTTGTTATTTTAAAGCTCCACTAGACATATATTTTGCCATGCGAAGATGGGTAAAATCGTAGCAGAGAAAAATCTATGGAAAATCTTGAAAAAAAGACCGTAGAAATACGGGGGGTTGAAACAGTTAAACAGTTACAAAAGGACAGTTGACTGAGAAGTAGGAGCTCATTACAAGGAGGGATTGGTCTCATCTCCATCGCTGCCGCATTCATCGCTCGCACAAATCAGGGTGCACACAGCGTGGGACCGCAGAGGCGGAGAAGATATCTCTGTTTCAGCACACCCCCACCATCCTTGTCAGCTCGATCCCACGTGATGTTCACGAAACGGATCAATCTTCTCTCTCTCTCTCTCTCTCTCTCTCTCTCTCTCTCTCTCATTCCCTCTCGCAACCCGACAACTTCCCCCGTTTTGATCTCTGCCACCAGTGAGTTCGCTGAGGCTTGGTTTACTTAGTGCGCGATGGCCTCGGTCCTGGGGAATTATTGAATGGGAAACGCTGTAACTCGATGGCGATGTCTCTGCGGTGTAGCTGGATCGAGTAGAGGCCAAAGGTGTTTCGGATCTCGAGGTTGCTCCAGAGGCGAGTGACTCAAATGGGTATCTGATACTTCATCCAGAATCGTCTGTGCCAGTAAGCTTGTGGCTCTTTTTCTAGAGTCTGAAGACCCCTTTGATTCATTGAATCTGATTTGATGGTTCTTGTGGGTTCTCTCCCTTGAGGTTGTTGCTAGAGATGCCTAAGAAAGGTTGAGTAGGAGACAACTGATGGGGGTGCTTAAATCTTGATAGCTCAGCGGGTACTCAGTAAGTTTTTTTGGGAGTACTGAGATATTTTCCTGAAAGTTTGGTATAGTTTCTGGGTTGTGGTAGTTGCATAGTTCCTTTGAGTGGTTTTTCAAGTTGCTCGGTAATCAACAGAATTAGCAGTCGACAATTTCGGTGTATTGGGGCAATTAGACTCTCCTTCGGTTAGGTCTCTATTCAAATAGTGTGCTCTGTGAAGAATGCAATCAATTTGAGTCATCCTCAAACTCAAGAGTCATATTGGTACATTTCGTTTCAGTTTGAGAGGGAATTCCCGGGTTGAAATTCTTGAAAATCGTGAAGCAGCATCTTTGTTTCCCAAACTTAGAGTAGCTGCTCCTGAGCTTATTCAGGAATGGCTGGCAACAAGATCATTGTTTGGTTTAGGAGGGACCTCAGAATTGAGGATAATCCAGCATTATCTGCTGCTGCTAGAGACGGTCGTGTGCTTCCCGTGTTCATATGGTGTCCGAAAGAAGAAGGGCAATTCTACCCAGGTCGGGTTTCGCGGTGGTGGCTAAAGCATTCTCTATTATACCTGTCTCAGTCCCTCAAATCTCTGGGTTCTCAACTTTTGCTGATTAAAGCCGATAGCACACTTGCTGCGCTTTTGGCTTGCATCGATTCTGTGGGTGCAACAAGAGTGGTCTTTAATCATCTTTATGGTAAAGCTCTGGCTCCCTAGCTCCAATATGCAGCTCAATCTTCTGAATACTTAGATTTCTTGGTGTATCTTATAGTTTTTGGCTTCGAATATTTGAAATACATTTGAGGAATTGATGAGCTGGTCGATACTAGTACCACGGTAGGAGCCCTTTCAAGGAGCTCTATTTGATTACTTGTTCTACATGTTAAATTATGTATACAACCAAATTATTAGATAGTCTCAGCACTGGACAGAAGGTTAGATGTCAACATTGGGTAAGGACGCAAATAAGAGAGTACATGATGTTTGGGTGCGCATACTATCTTTGGGTGATGTTACTGCTCAATCATAAATCCACATTGGTGTGATTGATTTCATATATTCTACTCTATAGCATATCTCATACGCAAATAAACAAGAAGGAGGATAAACTGCAACAAGGTGTCTTTTCGTTTAGTGACCCACTGAAATGCGATCAGTTGATTTGCAAGTCTCAGAAGCTAAACTCGGCTGGACTTTATATCTTTGCACCCCGCTGAAAAGGAAACCACTAAGTGGCTGCGCTAAATACCGCAACTAGCTTCACCGTCATTAGAATTACTTCGAAAAAGTTGCAACTGCTGTTGAGTTTGACAATTCCAAAACTTTGACGTAGAATAGTAGATGATAATCTTGCTGCATATATCAACTGTTAAGCCTGTTATGGTAACTCATGTCATGTAACTTTCTCGGTCAGCATAAGGTGAACTGTACATTGTGTCTGAAAGGAGTCTTTGTTGTCATGTATGCTCTTCTTGTAATTTGGTGTTCTGAAGTTTTCGGCAATTATTTAACAAGTGCTTCTTACTTGTCGTCGTTTTATCCTAGATCCTGTTTCACTGGTTCGTGACCATCATATCAAGGAGCAATTAGTGGAACTTGGTATTTCCGTGCAAAGCTATAATGCAGACTTGTTATATGAACCATGGGAAGTGTACGACGAGAAAGGGCTTGCTTTTACGATGTTTGACGCATACTGGAACACCTGCATGCACATGCAAATGGAACCCGTCACTCATGCTCCTGTCTGGCGCTTAGAGCCGTTGCCAACTTCAGGTACATCTTTATGCTTATGGGTTTTTAAGCTTGATTATAAACTTTTGAAGAAAATTATATGTTCTAATTGTCCTTTTAAATGGTCCGCTAGCTGACAGAAGACTGTAAAACGTTATCTTAATCCATGCTATGCAATTGCAACTAAGTATCTACATGTCAGTGATTTACACCTGGGTAAGCAAAAAGGACTAGTTTTTCATGGTTCCTCCACAAATTCTAGTTTTTCACAAATTGTCTTTAGGAAAAATCTATCGTATACAAAAGAGTAGACTGAATCAATGTTGCAGTGCAACGACCAAGTAAACTCTACCATGCCTTTAACAGGAATGATTGAAAATTGTTCGATTGAAGACCTGGGTCTCGAAGATGAAACAGAAAGATCTAGCAACGCATTATTAGGAAGAGGATGGTCCCCGGGTTGGGGCCACGCTGATAAGGCTTTGACCGAGTTTATCGAGCATCATCTGGTCAGTTATGCTGAAAATAGGTTGAAGGTAGGGGGTAACTCAACATCCCTCTTGTCTCCGTATCTCCATTTTGGAGAAGTCAGTGTAAGGAAAGTCTTCCAATCCACTCGTCTGAAGCAAATTCTGTGGGCGAAAGAAGGCAATTCTAGTGGGGAAGAATGCGCGACTCTTTTTCTCAGGGCCATCGGGCTTCGGGAGTATTCGCGCTACCTTTGTTTCAACTTCCCGTTTACTCACGAAAAACCTCTGCTGAGCAATTTGAAATATTTCCCGTGGCGCCCCGATCAGACCTCTTTTAAGGCTTGGAGACAGGGCCGCACCGGCTATCCGCTAGTCGATGCGGGAATGAGAGAGCTCTGGGCGACTGGGTGGATACATAACAGGATAAGAGTGATCGTTGCGAGCTTCGCTGTGAAGTTCCTGCTGCTCCCCTGGAAATGGGGCATGAAGTATTTCTGGGACACACTTTTGGATGCGGACTTAGAAAGCGATATCCTCGGTTGGCAATATATTTCTGGGAGCTTACCGGACGGGCATGAGCTTGAGCGTATGGATTGTCCTGAGGTATGTAGAAAATTATTGACTTCTAAATCTTTGCCGATTTACATGTTGGGAATGAAATGAGACATTGCATAATCATGTCATGCTAAATATTTTTCCTATATGCGGTTAGGTTCAAGGATGCAAGTTCGATCCAGAAGGAGAATATGTTAGACAGTGGCTGCCTGAGCTAGCAAGAATGCCAACGGAGTGGATCCACCATCCATGGGACGCGCCCACCAGCGTGCTCAAAGCTTCAGGGGTTGAATTGGGACTAAACTACCCGAAACCCATAATCGACGTGGACGCTGCCCGAGCACGCTTAACAGAAGCCATTTTCAAAATGTGGGAACTGGAAGCAACCGCCAGAGCGTGTAGCTCTAACTACACCGATGAAGTAGTTGGAGACAATTCCGAGGGAGATGAGAACTCGAGCATTCCGAAGGTTGTTTTAAAGGACAGGGCTACTTCTTTTACTATTTCGTCTAACGATCAGAGAGTTCCTTCGATTCAGAATTTAAAGGGCAGTCTTGTTTGCAAGAAGAGGCCAAATGAGATTGCGGTCAATGAATTGCGGCCGGTCCATGATAACTTGCAGGACCAACCGGGGAGCTCGAGAAGGGATGAGGAAGAGTGCTCCACAGCGGAATCTTCGGCAGCTAAAAGACAGACAATTAGCAGAGAATCGTTCTCGGTACCCCAGTCTTCTTCCTCGTTGAACGGCTTGACTTCGAACGAGCAGGAGATTTGATGTTTTAACTTGAAGCAGAAGTTCCAAGAACAAGTAGACATTGAACAAGGTACGCGAAAAGATGGGGTCCAAGTGGGCGTTCTTATACTGCGATTTTGGAACAATCTTGACTTGAAAGGATTTTGGAAACATGCAGAATTGCTTCCTCTAACGGTCATTGAATCCATCTCTGCTGTTGGTTCCTGACTTCAGAAAATACCTTGCTTTGTCATGAGACTCTGTTCACGTGATGCTGTGAGTAAAATCATGACGGACGTGTGTGGATCCGATCTTCGTCATCGTTTATGTGTGCATGCTAATAAACGTAGCAAGTTTTTTACTTTGTTCGCTTCTGCTTGCAAATCTCTCTTTGAGACCACATGAACAGTTTTAAACATGGTCTGTAATTCGCCCACAAGGGTTTTGCACTGAAGGTGAAAGTTCTCAAAGTCATGTACATCTAATGCAGGTAGAAGCTCAACACAGAAGCATCCTCATTTAAAGTTTATGTTTCTGATGCAGTATATATTTAATTGCATGGTTATAGAAGTGAGAGCTGATAATAGACAGTCAGTCGTAGAATATTTGATAAATAGCCATTGCCAGTTTGGTGCTGGGCGAAAAGCTAATTAAGTTTTGAATCTGTGAGACTTCCCTTCGAGTGCGAGAGCTAGAAGCATTGGCATTGTATATAGGAAGGTACACAGCTCACAGATCATTACTTTTTAGCTAATAACAATCGAGGGTGAGCATTCCACACAAAGAGCTATAAGACTGGCAAAAGGAATTGTCGAAACCAATGGCCTCGTTTGACATGATTTGCGGCATCTGCCGGCAGCTTGCGCTGTGGAAAAGAGTATCAAAGCAACATACAATACGGAGGGCTCCCGCCACTTGAGCAGTTTCGTTTGTTGGTTGCCAGAAGAGGCAAATGAAAAAGCAAGTCCTTGCTAGCTTATAGCTGAAGTTCTGATGTGTTAGTTTTGAGTACCATCAATCTTGAGGTGAAAAGCCTAAACTTGAGTAATTAATAATTTCATGCAAGGGTTAGATTAAAGAAAACGAAATTCAAGATGCAAGTCCAATAGAAAAAAGTAGTTTAGTAATCTCCCATGCGACGCGAATGCAAGATTTTTGTGATCCGCTGCCATACTCAAATTAAAATGTTGATGAAGAATATAATCACATACCAAATTTTACGGTCATTTTGCATAGAAGGAATCTGTTTCAGACGTTCAGAAGAAAATAGCTCTGTTTTAGGGTCCATTCAGAAATTTCCTGAGAAAATTTTTCCAAGGAAATCATCTTTTGGCAAAATGGTTCACTTTATCCGTGTTTGGCTGAACAATTTTACAATGACCTAGAAACCACTTGTGGCTTTGCATACTGAAAGACTCTGTACTTGTTCAAAGGGGTTTTGATTTGGTTGCCCCTAGGTCTGGTTGTCGAATTTCCAATCTTGCCCACAAGGACGGGCCGGCCCTCGAAGACTCAGGCCCTAGTATCGATCTTTTGGGCTCGGTTTCGGCCGCCATGGACTCGGGTCCTGCCCCCATGAGACTATGGCTAGCCGTTGATAACCAAGGCCTAATTCCTTGAAAAAACTTTCAACTTTAGGTCGAATCCCAATTCTGCCATGATTTTTTTTTATTTGAAAGGGATAATAACACAAATAATCTTTGAATTTTGGCCAAATGCGCAATGTGATCTCTGAACTTTTAATTTATTCAATATAGTGTCTGAATTTTAGCCCAATGTGCAATGTGGTCCTTGAAATTTTAATTTGTTCAATGTGGTTTCTATACTTTTGGTACATGTTTAATTTTGTTCTAGTACATGTGGAAATATTCAATGTTCTCCTCCATTAATTCAAGTTCAGGGATAACATCAAATATTTTCATATAGTTCAGGGACTAAATTAAACATGTACCAAAATTTCATGGACAACATTGAATAAATTAAAAGTTTAGGGACATGTTGCATATTGTACTAAAATTCATAAACCATATTGAACAAATTAAAAGTTCAAGGACCACTTTGCACATTGGATAAAAGTTTAAGGATCATTTGTGTCATTTTCTCTATCCATCGGTCTCGAACTTTTTTTTGTCTAAAATGTTGATATGTGGTTCATACTCCCTATCGATAAGAAAGCATGGGCGGGCAGGAGTTCAGGGGTTACTTCGACGAGGGTTATAGGGGGTAGTGCCCCTGTGACTCTAGAAGGCTTTTATAATTTGGGCATATATTTTATTGGTAGTTTGAACTTTAGGCTCATGAATAGCTATTAAATATATGGTTAATACCATGAAAAATCTCAAATTGGTACACCTGTGACAATTTTATCCTGAATTATTTTTTTGATCACGAAAAACCCCAAACTAGTACACTTGTAACAATTTTACCCAAAACTACTTTTTTTTACCACGAAAAACCCCAAACTGGTACACCTATGATAATTTTACCCCGATTTAATTTTTTGACAACCAAAACCCCCAAACTGGTACACCTGTGACAAATTTACTATCCATTAGTTTCCGTGAAATTTTACTGTCGAATTATTAAGTTTGATAACATGTGGTAGCTGACGGATATACCAGTTTCGAGTTTTACCCTCTGTTTGGCACAAGTTTACCAATTTGTGATTTTTCGTGATATTAATCCAATTAAACGGACACTAATGGAGGGTAAATTTGTCACAAATATACCAGTTTAGAGTTTTTAGTGATCAAAAAATTAGTTGAGAGTAAAATTGTCACAGGTGTACCAGTTTGGGGTTTTTGGTGGTAAAAAAATTAGTTCGAGGTAAAATTGTCATAAGTGTACCAGTGTAGGGTTTTTTGTGGTAAAAAAAATAGTTGGAGATAAAATTGTCATAGGTATACCAGTTTTGGATTTTTGATGGTCAAAAAATTAGTTCGGGATAAAATTGTCACAGATGTATCAGTTTGGAGTTTTTCGTGATATTAACTCTAAAGTATATATAATATATTTCTCTTAAAATTGAAAGATGTAATAAAAAGGTTGGAAGTGCTAAATATAGTCGAATCTTTTACTGGACGTAATTCTAGTTTAAGGGTGAATTAGAATAAAACCTTGTGTCTCGATTTTTATTTCATGCCTTTATTCTTTATTTTGTTGTGTTTGTGTGGCTAATCCTAACATAAAAGATACCCCAAATTTTAGATTCAGCTCCAAATTTAACCCAAACTTTTTTTTTTGTCTAAAAAAATCACCAATTTTAATTCTATTTCAAACTCTTTCCCGAACTTTTTTGTTGTTTAAAACAAATCACTAATTTTGAATCTAGTCTCAAATCTACCCTCATTAACTCTCCATCCGAAATTATAATTAGTTGTTTGACATGGTATTTTAACATTTGTAACAAATCCATATCAGTAAAGTAACATGGAAGATTATCTCCAAACGAAACCGTTCTTTGACATGAAAATTAGGGAAATTAGGGACGATTAACAACTATTTTTGAACAGATTTGGGACTAAAGTTAAAATTGATGATTTTTGTTAATTAGACCAAAAAAAAAGGCTAGGGGCAGAATTAAGACTGAACCTAAGTTGGGGATTTTCTGGGGGATTGCGCCTAAGTGGCAATAATGAAAGTCGGGAATTTTGAAAAATGACTTAAGTTCCAAAAGTTAGGAGGGTGCATTTGTTTTGGCTTGAAAAGCCAAAATTACATTTCTTTAGTTGTGTGCTAATATCTAAAATATTATTTTAGTTTACATGACAAAACACGCTTTCTAATTCTTTAGCGAAGGCAATTAGAGCATAACATATGAATTTCTGAATACAAAATGTTCCAAAGAGATTGAGGTGGTGAGGTTTACCAACTAGATGGTAGGATGTTCCGACGGTGGGCATTAGCAACCCAGTCAACAGCTTGATTGGGCTCCCGAAGGCAATAGACAACAATTACGGAATTCAATTGGGCCAAACAATCCTTACATTCTTTAATGGGATAAACGGGTCCTTAAACTATAAATTTATTCAATGTGATCCCTGAACTTTAGCCTAATGTGCAATGTGGTTCATGAACTTTAGTCCAATGTGCAATGTTCAATTTAGTCCCCCGATTGTATGAAAATATTCAATATTGTCTTTCGATTAATACAAGTTTAGGGACAATATTGAACATTTTCATACAATCGAGGGACTAAACTAAATATCTACCAAAAGTTCAGGACCATATTGAATAAATTAAAAGTTTATGAATCATATTACACATTAGATTAAAAATTTAGAGACTATATTAAATAAATTTAAAATTTAGGAATGCATTGAATCAAAGTTAATTAATTATTGGTGTCATTTAACCTTTTTCAATAATAGCACGCTTGGCATGGGCTCGCAGAAATACCCGAAGCACTCCACGAGCGATAAGCTATCGCCTATCGCACTCTATCACTGAGCACGGATCACTTGCTTCCCCCTCTCAGTTCTGCACTTCGGCTTCTGCAAACTGGATAGGAAGGGAGCTCGGTCTCGGCCTATGTCGACGGCGTGACCCCATCTCGCGGCGACGACAATTCGCTTCGTTTCGGGCAGCCACGCCCTCGACCAGCCAGAGCCGCCGCCCCAGGTAGAAGTTCCAATCTTCTTGCTGTTTCTTTCATTGTTGTTGTCCTTTCACCTGTTTCGTTCGTGTGTTCTTCATCTGCACCTACATGGGTTTCATCTGCCACCACCCAATTGTGTCTAATACCGTCTGTTGCTGATTCTTGAATTTGTTTTTCTTTTCCGTTTCTGGGTTTCTTACTTCTTCGCCTGCAGCTTTGATCGAGAAATTTATAGGGTAACATGTTCTTTTTTTTTTGGTTAATGTCAAGTTAAGCACTGAGCGTCAGTTGGCTTTTAGAGTTTTCTTGGTATCGAGTTCCATTCATGGCTTGAGGATGAAGATGATTTATGCCCCTCCCATTTCACAGCGCTCTCTTCATTTAGAGTTTTCTTGGTACCAAAAGATCAATTCATTGCTTGAGGATGAAGATGATTAATGCCCGCCCATGATATCTCACAGGGCTCTCTTCCCAAACCCGAATGGCTGTTCCAATCGCAGTTACAAAGCCTGCTCCGCTTGCACGTGCAATTCTTGTGAAAGACCCGAGTTCCACATCCTCTTTCCGATGCCCCTCGGTCTACTTGTGCCATTGCAATCCCAAAAGAAAGGAACTTCCATTCCCCCCTAATGCCCTTCGCCGTAAGATTGATCCAAACTGGCGAGGAGGGTTCTCCCTCGGTATAGATTTGGGATTGTCTCGCACTGGTGTTGCTCTTAGCAAAGGCTTTTGTTTTCGCCCTCTGATGGTAAACTCCAATGTCTGGCTTTTCTCGCTGTGATCTATGAACTGTTTGCGCATTCGTCAGATGCACTCATTGGTGAATTTTAATAGTAAGGTTAGTGACTTTTAAGGTTTTGGAGCTGCGAGGACAGAAGCTTGAGTTGCGGCTTCTGGACATTGCAGAAAAGGAGGTCGAAATCCTTCTTCGTCAATTTTAATGGCATCCTGAGGTCAGTAAGCTCGATATGGACTTCTCTGAGTAATGCTTTCATGGTAATCTGCAGGAGGCGGACGAATTCATCATTGGGCTTCCTTTATCGTCTGATAGAAAAGAGACTGTTCAGTCTAATAAAGTTCGCAGCGTTGCTGGAAGACTCGCGGCTCGAGCTGCGGAGAGGTGAAATGATTCCATTTGTTTTGTTGATAGTGTTAAGTTTTGTCTTTCTTGGTCTGATGGTACTTGAGTGCAGATTTTGATTTGTGATCATATGCTGCTGCACTCCATTTCAAATGCATTTAGACTGCATGTCTACTGGTTTAGCAATGGGTCTTGACTTGCTTTATAAGTTGCTTCTATTTTCTGCTTAAATTTTTCATGATCTGGTAAGAATTTGCCTCTGCTGGTTTGGCTTTTATAGTATACTGAATAAAAACTTAAATTATCAGCTCATTTTGGATTTTAGGAGCAGATTTGAATTTTTGAACTTGTGCATTGACCATACATGGAAAATAACATGGTGATTACCTGCTTTCCATGGATATTGATGTTAATTTTTTCAACAATGCCGAAACCTTTTCCTACAACATTGTAGTTTACCTCTAAAGTATGTTTGCGTAAGAACTGATGATGGCACGGGATCTGCAGTGCTTGAAAGTTGCAATTGTTGGCCAGGCATCTGTTTCTCTAAAATTGTCTACCTTCAGGACAAAAACCCCCTCCTTGCCTTCTTCCATTTGGTTGTGAAGTTGATTTCAGCTTTGGATTTCAGGGGTTGGAGAGTATATCTGCAGGATGAGCATGGGACATCAGCTGAAGCCACTTGCCATATGATCAACATGTAACTCCCATTTGACCAAGTGATTCGCATGTTTCATGCTTTAAGAGTTGTACAGTCTATGGATTGCATGTCCCTTGGCTAGACTATATTACATAAGTGGTTGCTTCTTACTTTGGAATATGGGCACAAATATTAAACAGTTTGAAGATGATAGTTTCATCAAATCAAATAGTTCGAGATTTTTCCCCTAACTTTTGAGTTTTAGAAAACCATTTTGATCAACCTTCTTTTTCTCCACGGCTTTATGAGATGCTCATTTTTTCCCTGGGTTGGGGTTTCCTGGTGTATGATAAGGCATCTTTCGGATTATATCCATATAAATGATGATCTCCACAGTCTAGGTGAGGTGAGACCTTATTACAGCATTCATTACACAAATTCCAGCTGTAGTGTACATAATTTCCTTTTAACCTGTATGGTTGATCATATATTAGATTACCAGAGCAGTAGTTTTGCACAAATTCAATTCACATATTCTTCCACTTAGGACATGCCAGGCCTGACGTAGAAACCTGTGCAGTTCTTATTTCTCTGGGTTCATCTACTGTCCCATCTTGGAAAACATAGTATAGTATCATGTGAAAGTAATTTGCTTGTGCTAATAAAATTCTCTACATAGATTAGTAACTTAGTTGTAGTAGCTTTTATTCTTTAGCAGTTGCTTTCTAAGCTGAGCAAGTAATGGTCACCAATCAAAGAATGACCCTATTTCCGCTAGTTTTTCTTTCTCTTTCTATGCTCAATTTTTGGACTGAGTCTGCAAAATCAAAAGGCTTCACTGGGCCAAAGGCAATGTATGTCATGGCAGCATGTTTTTTTTTTTGCCTGGTACCTCAGGACTGCATTTACCATATTATGTGAGATTACAGAAAAAAAAAGCTTTTCAGTTATTTGTTTGCTCATCTTTGCAGAGGTGTCCAGCAGTCCGCTCGGCAAAAAAAAGCTGATGCCTATGCCGCGATGGTAATGCATTGAAATTTTGGTATGGTTTCATCATTTTGCTTGTCGTGGAAAAGATAGTTCTGATTGTTTTACAACACTAATTTCTCTGAAGTGCAAGCTCCAAGAAGCTGCATAGTTCTGCTTTATACTCTCTCTCTCTCTAAGAATTTGGCTTACAATTTCTTGTAATCCGCATTTGCTGCTTGTGGGTGCAGATGGTCCTAGAGAGATATTACTCTTTGTCAGGAGAGGAAGCTGAATTAGTTTTGCCCAAGAGTTTAGATTTGCGAGAGAAATTACGGAGGGCTCCATCCGAGGACAGCGACTTCTCTGAATGAGTCACTGATTGGCTATTACAGTAACACCGACACCAAATGCTATGCCTTTCGAAGCAACGACATCCATAATCATGGATTATTTAAAAGCTAGGAAATCAGCAGTATCAGGGAAGTTTGTTGATGTGCCTTTGTCCCGTTTCCAACAGAAACGAAACTATATATTCTGGACTAGTTTCTTTGGAACTTACGATGTACTTTTTCAAAGATGGTCTCGAGTTGCCTTTATCTGCGGCCTGGGATAGTACCCTTTTCCATTGAAGGGCCAAGCTGGGAAGACTTGAAGTTTATAGGGTTGCTGAACTAATGCCACAATTGTATGATTGAAGCAATTCAAGCTTTAATCAGTTATGGGGTTGTGAAATAATTTTTTGGTTTCAGATACAGAAGAGTCTTCATGTAGCGAGAAATTCGAGTGAGAAATTCATTGCACATCTCAATCTCTTCGATTCTGCTACTCTCTTGATCCTTGTTTCCCCTTTCATGCCCCTAACTGGGGACTTTTCATTGCTGTAATAAGCTTGTCTTTACGCCTTTCTACCTACGCCAGGCATGCTGTCACATTTTCAAATGCTAGGAGTTGGAGCACGCTATGCTCTTCATATCTTCTACGAAAGAAAGATTCTTCAAGTAGTTTTTCATTGCTAGTGGATGACAAGATGCTTCTTGACGATTATACTAGTTTAGGCCTTGACAATGATGGTCGTCTCAGAGGAACCGTGCACGCATGGTTTGCGTTCAACGATCGATCTTGCAAAATTCTTAATTGAGCACGATTTGTGCTTGCGTGCGAATTTGAAGCTCCTCTTCGAGCTAGTCAGGATCGGTGACTAGTCTTCATTGCAATCATCATCAATTTCTATTTCTCTGTAGGAATCGACATTATCCGGCCTAAAGTTTCGTGAATTTGATGGGACATAAGTTCGGAAACTTAAGACGATGGTGATTTTCTCTCTGCATGCTCGCAAAATTACCCAATCGATGATAGAAGATCTGAAGGTGCTAAGTACCCTGTGCAAATAAGCCAGAAGTACAAGAAGGAAATTACATGCTGGAATAGGAAGGTATGTGATAGTAATACCAGACTAAGAACTTATTAAATTGTCAAAATGAAATCATATGACAATAGAGATACATCTGCCTCTACTGCAATGAACCAAAGTCCAAGCTTCAAGGATGATGGCATGAATGTCTTCAACAGAGGTCCACATGATCAGAGGCCGGTAAAGGCAGCTTTAAGAGCCTTTTTAAATTTCTTTTGGCTAAAAGCCAACTTTCAGGTCCTAAGCAAGATCTTAAAATGCTTCAACCTAGGGCCACATTTGAACCTTGGGGTCCCCAAAATGTAAAGGAGAAAGAGGGTATTCTCTCTCCCGGGAAGACAAATATAGGGAGGGAATTGGGAGGTAAGAAGTGTGTTGGCATAAAAAAAAAATATATTTTTTTAATTGTATCGAATCTATTTTTCGATTTTCGAATAAAGAGTGACCTTATAACAATAACACCTTTTTTTCTTGTCATTTTGTACTGAAGCTAACTTACATTAATAAAAGTCTGCTAGAAAGATCATATGTTTAGACCATGAGGCCTATTCAAACAGGAACAGTCCCCAACTCAGCTGCATCTTCTTCTTCATTCTCTCCAGAAATTTCCTCGAGCGAAAGGCCTTTTGCCTCTGGCACCAAGAAGGTGAAGACCACCCCAAAGAAGTTGGTCACGCCGAGTATCATCAATGTCTTCCTAATGCCGATCCCATCTACTGCATACACAAAACCGAATGTACCCAGCAAGGACCCGGCTTTGCCAGCCGCAGCAGATATACCATGACACGTTGACCTGACCCGCGCCGGGAAGATCTCGGCGGGGATGACGAATGTGGTGGCGTTAGGGCCGAAGTTTGCGAAGAAGAAGGTGAGTGAGTACATGATCACGAACCCGATTCGATTGTCTCGCAAGGTCCAGTGGTGGTAAGGGATGGCCAAAGCGAACATGAACACTGTCATGAAGAAGAAGCCCATCAATTGGATTGCGAACCTTCCGATCCTGTCGATGAACGCCACCGTGAACCAGTACCCTGGGACTGTGCTGCAGAGAGCGATCAGGGTCTGCGCACGCCCAATCCGGTACACCTCTTCTATGGCATTCATGGTTTTCGCCTCCGGAATCCAACCGACGGCTGTGTAGATGTCTTTCTGGAAAAGGTTCTGGCTATAGAAGGCAATGTCCAGGAGGAACCAGGTGCTTGTAGTACCAAGCAAGTGGAGCCCGTGACGCCGGACGAACTGCTTTGAGAACAAGCCAAAGTCATTCCCTTGCACCCTTGGCTCGACTTTCTCCGGCTCTGCCTCCAAATCAACTTGGAGAACCCTCGACATGTCGGCTGCGGCTTGTTGGGCGTTCTTGGCCACTAGAGCAGTGTAACGAGCTGTTTCGGGCATTTTCATCCGCCAGTAATATGTGAGAGCCGCCGGAACCGCACCAAACATCAAAATTATCCGCCATACATAGTCCGCTTCGGGGACGGTAGAGAGGCCCGGATTGACTTCATAGGCTGGAGCGGGATATCTAGCCTTGAAGGACGAGGAGACAATTATAGAGACTGTCCCGCCAGCCAAAATCCCGAAGCCCTGCATTGCGAAGACAGCGGCGATGAAGGCCCCACGAGTCTTCTTGTTCGCATACTCTGACATGATGGTGGCGGAAAGCGGGTAGTCCCCACCAATGCCGAATCCAAGCCAGAACCTGAAGAAGCAAAGGGTGGCTATCACCCCTTTCGCTTCCTTACCGAAGGAGAGCCCCGAGGCAATCGAACAGAAGACCATGAGCATGAGGGTCACGCCGTAGACCCTCTTCCGGCCCATCTTGTCACCCAACCATCCAAAGAAGATCTGGCCTGCAAGGGTCCCACTCAAGGCAACACCGTTGACCGCCGACGACACGTTGGAAGGCAGAGTGCCCGGGGTGTCCGAGCCCGGCTCGGTGTAGTACAGGCGGCCGAGGAGCGACGTCACAAGGGAGATGCAGAAGAGGTCATATGCATCGGTGAAGAAGCCCATGCCGGCGATGACAATTGCCGTGAAATGGTACCATTGTGTTTTGGCTGAATCAAGGGCATTGAGCACCTTCAGTTGTTCGTTAGCCATCGATCAGCCCCTTCTCAAGTTCCCAAGTAGCTGCTAAACTTAAACGGCAAAATTTAGCAGAATCAGATGAATCTATGTTCTACTAAAAGAATGAAAAGTACGATGTTCATGTGACCCTAAATAGTCAAATTATAGGAGCGGTCGAACTTTACTTGTAAAGGTGAAATCAACAAAGAATATTCCGTAAAGAATAAACGGATAATCACATAAACAACCTTTTCTAAATTTCTCTTAGACACGTAAAGGCTTAAGAGCAGGTTGAGTTTCAAAGATGAGGATCAGTGGATTATGACTGGTTGAGAGCGAAATTGAAAGCGTGAAATGAGATTGGGAGGTTGACCTCGAGGATTATGTGTTGAACATTATGAGTTAATGATTTATATATCATGCTCTCACCCATCATCTCAAATATAATTTTCCAAAGTCAAAGCTATATATGATCCTAGCAAAGTAGATTACGAAAAGCACAACTTCAAAAGATAACAACTTCAAGAAACAAAACGCACCCCAGAAGGGAATATTCCACCAAAAAGTTAAAATTTTGCATGGTGCGGCACCAATACTTAAACTTTTTTTCATGTCACTAATACCCTCAAACTTGTACCATTGACCCAAAATTACCTTCCATCACAATTTCATTCAAGACGGCCGCTAAAAATCCAACGTGGTAGTTTGCATGGACAACAGCAGGCAAATGAAACTAGCATGAATCTCACGCAGTCTTTAGTCTGAGAAAATTTTACCAAAAAGCCTACACTTTACCTAGTAAGACTCCGATACTTCAAACTTGTTTTTGGTGTCGCCAAAAACCTTCAAACTTATATAAGTGATCCAAAAACATTTGCTCTAACATCCTAAATTTTCATTGCATTTATTATGTATATTGTGTTATATAGAAATAAGATTCATATTTCTCCATATGGGTATTGATAATTATCGCATGATTCTCTCTGTCTCTTATAACCATAATTTATTAGCCACTTGTCACTAATTTGGTTACCACATTGCTTAGTTTCTTACTTGCAAATTACATCATTCCTTACATCACTTCTTTAAATTTAGCCCATTAATGCTCTTTAAGCTTGTAAGTCAAGAATCCTCATTCATTAATGATTGAAATGATTGCAACTCAAATTATGTGTCCTTTCATGCATTTTACTTGGCCAATGATGCTCTCTCTCTCTCTCTTCAATCAAATATCTTCATCTTTTCATCCAAAATCACGTCATTTGTCACTCATATAATAACTCACATGCTCTTAAATGGTGACATTAAACTTAACCTATCAAATTACATCATGCATGACATCATAAAATGTCATAGTGTTCTAACTCTAGTTACTTTGTATCATAATTATAAGGGTTAATATCACGAAAAACTCCCAAATTAGTATACTTGTGACAAATTTACTCTAAATTAATTTTTGACCACCAAAAATCCAAAACTAGTACACATGTGACAAATTTACCATCCATTAATTTTTGTGAAATTTTACTATCAAATTACTGAGTTAAATGACCCGTCGCAATTGACGAATGTACCAGTTTGGGGTTTTCACCCCTGTTTGTCACATGCGTACTAATTTGTGGTTTTTTTTTCGTATTAATCAAATTTAACAGAAAGTAAATTTGTCATAAATATACCAGTTTAGGATTTTGGGTGATCAAAAAATTAATTTGGGATTAATTTGTCACAGGTGTACCAGTTTGGGGTTTTTCGTGATATTAACCCTATTTATAAACCTAGTTAAATAACATGAATTGAAGTTATTCTTTAAAATAAGTAAAGGATGAAGAAAAATTCTTTTTCCCTTCTTCTCCTTGGAAGAGTAACTTCATCTTCTTATCTTCAAGTGAAATTCTCTTTTCCCTTCTAGAGTAACGAGCAAAGCTTCCCCTTAAATTTCAATCAAACTCCAAAGTTTATTTAATTTGATTTGTTTGAACTTTTAATCTCATCTTTTAAGTATTTACAAGGTAAAAGTTCACGAACTCCAATTTCTTTCTAACAAGCTAGTTTTGTTGTTTTCTTAAAGATTAAAAGTTGTTAATGTTTGTTCTAGTTTATTTTGCTTTGAAGGTGATTAAGGTTTTGAGTTGTCCAAATCTTTGTTCAAGGTAAGTGAAAACTCTATGGCTAATTTAGATTGATCTACTTGATACTCTTGACTTGGTTATTTGATGATTGTAAATTTTAGTTTGAATATTGATGTTAAGTGTGAGAAAATTTCAATGATTGTGCGTTCAATCATTGTGTTCATTTGACTTGAATCTATGAATTTGTATATACCGAGTTTGTGATTAATTGATGTCCATAAGATTCGGTAGTATAAAAAATGGTAATGGTGAACATAAAGCTGAAAGTGATAGTTTTGTAATTCGACTAAGTTATCGAATTTTTAGCTAAGTGTTATCGATTATTCAAGTGGTCAATCATCTGAGTTCTCGATGGTTACGATGTCGATCGTTTGAGTTGTCGTTCACACCTATCTACGACTTCCGATTAAAAGATGATGGCTTATATCGGAAAGAGTGAGGATACATGTGTAAAAGTGCACGTAATTAATTGTTTATCATTAATTGCATGAAAAATGAAAAATTATTGAGATGTACATAGCGATTGTTATGAAATGTATGTGAATGATTAAGACCTTTACCACGGCCTATTCGCCACAGAGCAAATTTCCTTGTATGAGTATGTGGAAAAGACTTTGGAGTTAGCAAGATGTTCTATTACATGAGACAGTTCTATACAAAGTTGAGATGACATTATATCCTATGAAGACATGACTTGTGTAGTCATGGTATGACATAGCTTGTATAGTCATGGCATGATGTTAAGAAATGACTATTATCACGTGGATGTACAGTGGTGTATTTATCATCGATGATGTAGAGGACACTCATGATGAATGGGTTAAGAGGCGTGATAAAAGGTATGAATGATTTTGTCTCCCATGAGTTGGTGATGACGATGCCTTGTCAATCGAGATGTCTAGTGAATCAAAATGATCCTGGCCAGTGATAAGTACGAACTCACCTGTGTATATTAGTGAGCTATTATGTGGTATATGTGCATCATAAAATAATATGTCTTCTGCTTACATTTGAGTGAATAATCTTATATAATGTTGTAAATGATTTCCATTGACATATTATCATAGAAAATGGAGTGCATCATCTACTTCTGCATTTGTCATACGTGATTATTTTGTATTGCTTTCAACTCACATTGTTTATTGATACTAGGTTGAATGGTGAGATGATCTATTACATTAGACTTAGAGATTTAATTTACTAGGTTTTAGCTCGCCTCTTATTTTTCAAAATTTGCAGGATGGATCACCCTCCCCTGTTGCGATTTGGAGTTCCTGCAGATGTGTTTGTACTTGAATCGGCGATAGTATAAGTGTAGTCCCAGTGGATGGGTAGACAGGGAGTTTCTTGGACCACTTAAGGTTTCAATGGCCCCTCTAGTTTCGACGGCTATGGCTTGTCAATGGGCGAGGTTGTTGATCCATAGAGAATAGCTTGACTTTTGTATATGTAGGTTTTTGCGCATGGGAACGGTGTTGGTGATAGGTGACCTTGACCCTTCCCATGACTTATGTATATGTGTTTTGCTTGGATGTTGTATTAGGATAGTAACCATTGATTTATAACTCTATAAAAATAGAGTTATTTTACCTACTTTAGGCAACAAATAATGCAATATTTGTTAGAAAATATTTGGATTTCATTTTATTTCACTCAAAATTTCCTTGTTTATGCAGGATAATGAGACATGGAGAAAATGAAGAAAATATGGCAAAACGAAGGAAAGAAATATGCTACCAGGAGAAGAGTTAGAAGGTGGATATCAGATCGGGAATTCTGCGATTTATTCCCTAGTTTTATGCAAAAAAGAAACAATTGCCTTGTGTTAGGAGTCTTGGATGCTATTCTATAATTAGGATAATATTGAGAGCATAGAGGGACAGCTAGTTTTCTTTAGATCATTTTATTTTATTGTTTTTGAAGTTTTTCAAGTATTTTGAAGAGAGGAGAAAAGTGGTGACAGAATTCTTGTTCTTTGATTCAAGATGTTTGGTTTAATTTATACTTTCGTTTCTTCTTATATTATGTTCTAATTTTTTTTTTGTTAGAGCTGCAATGTAGTCTAACCATGATTATATGAATTATATGCTTTTTATGTTTTGCAAGTGATTTCATTCATGTAAGTTATATATTATTGTGCTTAATGCCTTTAAGTGACTGACCACCACTTGAATGATCTGATGTGCATGTTTGAGACTAAGAAGTGATAATATGCAATTTCTCCTTATAATATATAACCATGAATTAAATGTGGATAGAAGTATATCATGTTATTTGTGTAGCTTTCGGTGACGAGGTGGTCCAAAAGATTTATTGTCAACCGGGAATATTCATAGATTTTAATGCGCATATGTTTATTTAAATTCATATAGAGATATAGTGAATTGATAAACTAAGTAAGTTTGCTATACTTAGAAATAGGATAGTAAATAGACTAGGAAATTCCGCTATCACATCTTTGATATTGTTCTTGTATGCATAATGATCTAAAATTCATATCTAGTGGTTTTGGTGAAATCTAATGATCTAACATATTTTATCTAATCGATTATCTGTCTTTAGTTTATAAAATTTCGTTTTTAAAATTGTCAATTTTTGTTTATTCTTAATTTTATTTTGATCTGTTAGATAAATTTTATAATTAGTCTATTTTTAATATTTAATTAGTTTATTAATCATCAATCTTTGTGGAACAATACTTTTTCATCATTATATTACTTTTCTCACAATTATATTACTTGTTCAACACATTCGTTAACACGTGCAGAATTTTACGAACATTGATGCTTTTGTATAAAGATGAAGATATGTATATTTAGGGGTGTAAACAGTTCGGTTCGGTTTTCGACTTTTTTCTCTTTTTTTTTTGCTTTTCATTCACAGCTTGATTTTCGGTTTTTTCTACACACAATATCCACGCCAAGAGACGCTTCACCCAAGCATTTCCACAAACACTTGGCCGGCAACTCCCCGCGCGACGAAGTCCCCCAAGCCACTCCCACTGTCCATGGCTGAGAAAGAGCAAACCAGGCCCCTCTCGCCCGCCTCGTGCACCGTCCGCAGTGACGAAGTCAAAGCCTTGTCGGCCCACTTCATGCTCTCTCGGCCGAGCACATCGGATTTTTAACGATTGTCTTGGACGGAACTGTGATGAAAGCTATTTTTCGGTCACTCGTATAATTTTGGGGTATTTGTGAAACGAAAAAAAAAGTTTGAGGTATGATTGTCACACTAGGCAAAATTTAGGACACGAATGATAATCATTATGTTTCCCTATTTTTCTATTTTTTTGTTCCCGGGAACATGTTTGAAACAGAAATCCGTTTGGTAAAATAATTTCATTTTTCTATTTTCGGGAAAAAAATTTAGCCCAAAAATTGGTTTGGAATAGAAATGAGAAATTAAAATTGTCTACTTTTATCTTTCCGGGACAGAAACAGAAATAACAATTCTTTTTATTGCTCGTCCTCACCGCCCGCCGCCGCCCACCCTGTCCTTCGCCGGTCGCCTGCCAAGAACAGAAATTTAAGAACAACCAATCAAATGAATTTCTATTTGTTAATTTTGTGTCGTTATCAAACGTTATTTTTTGCTTAGAAACTCGTCCGGGAGCTAGAAATAGGACCGGGAAAGAGAAATTTTATCATTCGTGCCCTTAGACTTTTTATGAAATTTTCCATTTAAAGAAAAAAAACCATGCCAATTCAAGCTTGGACTGTTGCAAATTACCATTTCAAAGATTCTTCCGAACTTTTACGAATCACAAATGAAAGCATAATGAAGTCTCGACCAAAACAGTTCCCGTGAGTTTCATAGTCTTATTATTTCCATTTCAATGTGGGCTGACAAGTGAGGTTTTGTGGCATCGAGGTGAAATGTGACATGCATAAGATTTAATCCAATTGACCCATGAGAGTGGCGTTGAGATGCTTGTGCTAGGATTCTAGAAAAGATCATATTAGAAGATCTCTAAAGACAAGATTGGTCTTCCATGTACAAAATGATCGGGAATTGATGTCACTTTCCCGATGATGGCCATAGTAGGTGAAAATCAGTTGGTGTGCCAAAGTAATCTGTATGTGTGCTCGAGGGAGTGAATGTCCGAACTGAATTGGACATGGCACGATTGATTATAAGGATGTGATTCTCCGTAAAATTCTTGAGAACGGTGAGGATGAGTGCAAGACCAATTACAAAACCAGCCTCATATTCCAACTCACCAAATGTTGCACGAGCTTATCCTCGGCCGAGAAACTTTTGGCCTATGACCTGAGGACAAGAAAAACAGATCTCTGCTTCATCTTCTTCCTCTCTACGGGCTTGATTTTTGGAGTGTAATGATCAGGACTAAATAAGGATGAGTGCCAAGTCCAATCCAGTTCGACTGCACGACACGAAAAAGGAGAGGCAGAGTTACAAGCCACGAAACAGACACTAAGGATAGATGAGAGTTTGTAGTCCGTTAATTTCTTTTAAATTGGATTAATACCACGAAAAATCTCAAATTGGTACATTAGTGACAAACGAAGAGTAAAACCCCAAATCGATATATCCGTCAACTGCCACGTGTCATCAAACTCGGCAAATACTTCCCTTATTTTGCGCAATCTGTCCACTTTGCCCGACCCAGACCCGTCTAAAACGGATTAATTTTATGTGAAGAAATTCGGACGTTCTTTTAACCAGGAGAGGCCTAGGCAAGGGCTTTAAGGCTTTTGTACTAGGAAGCCTCGTACCCAATTGCATCCATTGATCGGGTCTATTACAAATGACAGGCTGCTGAATGATTTTGAAAATTTTTCTTACGACGTACAAATCCGAATCTTGTTCTCGTGAAATCAGCTTCTGTATTATCAAATTTGACTATACGCAAGTAGGGTAAAAGTGCCATTGTTGAACTGTAACTTTTCCCCTTTCGTTGGACAAAGACTCAGAATGTTTTCCTCCATTTCTTTTTCTTTTTTCAAAACGGCCATAATTATTAGACATAATCACGGATCGGAATGTCTCATCAGACACTAGTCCCGACCCCCAAATGAGTGGACAGGGCTCTAAATTTTGGTCACTGACTCGCAAAGTGCGTGGATCCAGGCAACTATTTTGGGCCCCAACCCCGGGCTCGGGCAAGACCTTCAGCCCGCCGCCATGTTTTAGATAAATAATATTCAATTTATAAAAGCTTCAATTTCTATAGATTCCCTCTCTTCCAACTTCAGAAGAACATTCTCATTGTTGCCTTCTTCACTTATATTTGATTAGACATGAGTAATCATAGCTTAAAAGACAGTGAAATCAGCATCATAGAAAGACGCATAGTCCAAGAGCAAGTACATTTCTACACATTTCTTATGCTACTTATTGCTTTAACCCACATGAACTTTACTTAGTGGATGATCCCATGCGATATGTTTTGGTTATCTTTTAGGTTTTAGCTTGGCTTCGAATCATGATCGATTTGGCAGCACTAGTCGGGAGGGTGAACGGCCATGTTCAAACTGGAACTTTCCTCAACTCGGCTGCGTTTTCTTCCTCATTCTCTCCGGAGATTTCCTCGAGCGAGCGGCCCTTCGACTCTGGCACCAAGAAGGTGAATACCATCCCCAAGAAGTTGATCACGCCGAGTATGATCAAGGTCTTCCTGACGCCGATCCCATCCGCTGCGTACAGAAAGCCGAATGCACCCACCATGGCCCCGGCCTTGCCGGCTGCGGCAGATATGCCGTGACAAGTCGACCTGAGCCGTGCCGGGAAGATCTCCGCGGGGACCACGAACGTGGTGGCGTTCGGGCCAAAGTTTGCGAAGAAGAAGGTGAGCGAGTATATGATCACGAACCCGATTCGATTGTCCGGCAAGGTCCAGTGGTGGTAAGGGATGGCCAGAGCAAACATGAACACTGTCATGAAGAAGAAGCCCATCATTTGGATTGCGAACCTTCCGATCCTGTCGATGAACGCCACCGTGAACCAGTACCCTGGGACTGTGCTGCAGAGAGCGATCAAGGTCTGCGCACGCCCAATCCTGTACAACTCTTCTATGGCATTCATGGTTTTCGCCTTGGGAATCCAACCGATGGCGGTGAAGATGTCTTTCTGGAAAAGGTTCTGGCTATAGAAGGCGATGTCCAACAGGAACCAGGTGCTTGTCGTGCCGAGCAGGTGGAGCCCGTGGCGTCGGAGGAACTGCTTCGAGAACAAGCCAAAGTCGTTCCCTTGCACCTTTGGCTGGACTTTCTCTGGCTCTGCTTCCAAATCGACTTGGAGAACCTTCGACATGTCGGCTGCGGCTTGCTTGGCATTCTTGGCCACTAGAGCGGTGTAACGGGCTGTTTCAGGCATTTTCATCCGCCAGTAATATGTGAGAGCGGCCGGAAGCGCACCGAACATCAAAATCAGCCGCCACACGTAGTCGGCTTGCGGGATGGTGGAGAGGCCTGGATTGACTTCATAGGCCGGTGCGGGATATCTAGACTTGAAGGCTGAAGAGATAATTATAGCAACCATCCCGCCAGCCAAAATCCCAAAACCCTGCATCGCGAAAACGGCTGCGATGAAGGCACCACGAGTCTTCTTGTTCGCGTACTCCGACATGATGGTGGCGGAAAGTGGGTAGTCCCCGCCAATGCCGAACCCGAGCCAGAACCTGAAGAAGCAAAGGGTTGCCATCACCCCTTTTGCTTCCTTACCGAAGGAGAGCCCCGAGGCGACAGAACAGAGGACCATGAGCATGAGGGTCATGCCGTAAACCCGCTTCCGGCCCATCTTGTCACCCAACCACCCGAAGAAGATCTGGCCCGAAAGGGTCCCGCAGAAGGCGACCCCATTGACCGCTGCCGCCACGTTGGAAGGCAGAGTGCCCGGGTTGGCGGAGCCCGGCTCAGTGTAGTACAGGCGGCCGAGGAGCTTCGTCACGAGGGAGATGCAGAATAGGTCGTACGCGTCTGTGAAGAAGCCCATGCCGGCGATGATGATCGCCGTGAAGTGGTACCATTGTGTTTTGGCTGCATCAAGGGCATTGAGCACCTGCAGTTGTTCCTTAGCCATTGATCAGCCCTTTTCCTCAAATTCCCTCGTAGCTGTTACATTCAACAGTAAAATTTAGTAACATCAGAAGAAAATATGCTCAACTAAGGGAACTAAAAGTAAGATGTTGATGTGACCCAAAGTATAGGAGAGGTAGAATTTTACTTGGGAAGGTGAAATCAACAGAGGATATAAGGGAAAGAATAAGCAGACAATCACATGGACACCCTGTGCTGAATTCCTCTTAGAGACGTAAAGACTTGAAAAAAAAAAAAAAAGCAGGTTGAGTTTTGAAGAAGAAAGATCAGTGGATGGTGAATTGGTGACTGGTTGCTAGTGAAACTGAAAACATGGAATACGAGCACGTGTCCTTTATCAAGTCAATAAAGTGAGACTGTGTGGTTATGGTTGAGCTTGAGCTTTAGGTTTATGTCTTGATAACATTATGAGCAAATGATTTATGAATCGTGCTCTTCTGACATCATCTCAAACATAATTTTCAGAGTGATAAACGTGAAAGCTGTGTATGATCCTAGCAAAGAAGCATATTTTCTTGACGTATACTGATCTCCTAACCTTGATTTCACAGACTATATAGAACATGGAATGACAAAGACATGACTTTAATACTATAAACTTTATCAGAAAAAAAACCTTGTAAAGCTTGAAAACAGAACCTTCATAGAAAATCACACTATATGAAGCCCAAATGATTAAAAAAAGTGAGCATGTATTCGCCAAGCAGACTGTCTGTTCTTATAATCTTTGCAGAGAAAAGGAAAGCAAAACAGAGGCACACAAGTCAAAAAGAAAGAACGAAAAAAATGGGAAAAGGCAGATTACAGAAAGCACCGATTCAAAGAACGAGAACTTCAAGAATCAGAACGCACCTCTTCCAAAGAAAAAACAAATGAAAGCACAGAGTGCAACGAGACAGGAGAGGCAGAGTTCCCAAGTTGCAAAACAAGAACATGAAAAAGTTACGCGAAGGATTGACGAAAGAGTCCGTACTTCGTACGTGTCTGAACAGTAACAACGTGGTACAAGTTTCCTCAGAAAGAGAGAGAGAGAGAGAGAGAGAGAGAGAGAGAGGTCTATGGGGCAATGCAATGGAGTGAAGAGGGAAGGGGGGTCCGGTATTTAAAGCCAACGAGGCGGCCACCTCTGAGTTTTTAATTTTCTACTTATAGTTTTTGGCATTTTTCTGATTTGAGCTTTATGCAAAGTTTCAAAAAGCTTTTCAGCCCAGCATTTTCTCCTACCTGTTAACGCTTTTTACCTGCTGCTGGTGACTCTTTTTACCAAAATTCCACATACAAAAGTCATGGTGCTGCGGAGACTTTTGCTCATACTTTGGCTTACAAGTCAGATCAGTCAGTTTCGCAGTGCACATGCTGATCATTTTTTCTAGTGCACCATCTTTGGGGGTACAAATTAGAGGTGATCATGAACCTGCCAATCCGATGGAAGGGCCTAGGTTTGATTCGCCGGTAGGACAAAACTGGTGGACTTGGGTACCTACTCCCTTCTCTTACCCGAATCATTCACTTTGGCCGGCACGGACTTGCCTCGACTTGATTAATATATTCTTTTTTAAAGAAAAATAGTATCCCACGTGGACCAACGATAAGCAAACGGTGTTGACTTGGATCTAACGGATTTTTTCCTCCGGCCAAAGTATTTCCCTCCAAAATCGATGTAGCTGTGGCTTCACTAAACGTCATATTAGATTCACGTCAACTTCGTTCGCATGGCATTGTCCATGTAAGCTACCCGTAAGATTCTTAAAAGTCGTCTTGGACAGGACTGGGATGAAGGGTATATTGGTCAGATTAGTACAAATTTGAGATTTTTGGCGACACGAAACAAAGTTTGGATTTTTGAAATCCCAGTGGATATCATTTAAGACTTTCAGCAGAATTATTCCTTCTTTTTTCCTCATAAAAAAGCCTAGGTAAGGGTTTTTAGGCTATGTACCAGGTGGGGTCTACCCAAATGCGTTCATTAATCAGGTCTTACTACAAATAATAGGTTGCTGAATAATGTTGTGCTCTTCTTACAACGTACAAAGTTAAATCTCGTTCCCGTGAAACAAGCCCCGTCATCTTCTCTATTATTGAATTTGACTCGATGCAAGCAAAGTAAAAGTGCCACTATTGAAACTATACTTTGTCCCCTTTGCCGGACAAAGACTTAAAGATTTCCCTTTCTTCGATGCAATCGTAACTAGATTTGATCATGAGTCGGGACATCATACGAGGCCTTCAAGGCCCGCCCGCAAATGAGCGGGCGTGGCTCTAATTTTCGTCGCGAGCCGCAAAGGCGTGGATCCAAGCAATTACTGTGGGCCCAAATCCCGTCCTAGGCAAGACCTTCGGCCCACCAACAATATTTACGATAAAAATTATTCTATTTTCAAAAACTCAAATTTCTACATATTCCCTCTGTGAAGTAGAACGCTCCTTCTAATTATGTTACTTTCTCATTTTCAGATCTATATAAAGGCTAATTTTTCCTTTTCCGTCTCCTTTTCTAGGGTAACTTTCCAACCAGTTTCCATAGTTATTTTGTGATTTAGCTGAAAATCTTAAAAGGAGGATATTACGTTCAACAGAAAGAGTACGTTGCCCAAGTGAGCGGTCGCGTTTCTCGCTGGCACCCGACCCGACCCGACCCGCTAGTTCGGGTCCCGAGGTGGACTCGTGTAACGCGAGGGGGTCGTGGCTTCTTCGTCGTAATTATCATATCGATAAGGTCCGCGTGCGCAGTTGGGTCAACTTAGGAAGGATGTCGGACTTTGAAATTCAAGTCAACGGGTCAAGAAAGACGGAAAGGAAAAGTGTGCGTGTGGGAACTGGCGCGCCCCGTGAGACCGAGCGGTGTGGGACTTCTTGGGGTTTGGGGGAGGGGAGGGGGGTAGGTTTCGCCCTCTAAGGTGGGGGGGCGGCTCAAATATCCACACCTTAGACGGTGGCCTCACTCTCCCTATTTCAACTTTGTATTATGGCCTCGTGTTGTTTTGTTTGATTAGACAAGAATATTCATATAGCTTCAAGGACGGTGAAAATCGATGCATACGATTTGACCTGAAATAAGTCCTTAAGCTGCTTCATCATACGTATTGTTCGAACCTTGAAATACTTTCGATATCAATGGATCCCTTCGATGTAAAGAAACCAGAGGATGTTCCCTTTCTCCGAAGAAAAAAGAAGAAGGTGTTTTGGGAAAACGGGAGGCTTGGGATGTCCGGCCGCCGGGACTTAAAACAAGATGTATAGTTGAGGGTCTGCCCATGGTAGAGATGCCCCTCAACACCCGCAAGTTGCAATGATACCTAGGGTTAAGGTAACCACTACAACCTTAGGGGGAGTTGTAGGCTTATGGACCAAGAATAACCATAGCTTAAAGGATGGTGAAAATCGATGTCATAGGGTAGACTTAGGGACCAAGTACGAGTGCATTTCTACACATTTTTTTTTGAGCTATGTGTCGCTTTTAACCCGTGTAATATTACTTAGAGCAATGATCCTATGTAATATGTTTCAATTAAACTTTTTTTTATAAGGAATAGTGATCTTTTTAGCAATGCAAGTTAGAAGAGCGATTGGTCCACGTACACGAATAACTCGATAAAGCATAGCGTAACTCTTTTGGTTGATTGTTTGGAGATATCGAAATTTTATGCGTTTGGTGAAAAAAAATTGAATTTTATTTTTGTCCCCATCCTTGATTTGATAGTTACCTACCCCTTATATTATACATGAACGAAGGTGCGGGTGGCTCGACATCTTTCGTTCATTATCTTCTATATCTGTGTTATCTTTCTTTTAACCTTAATCTTGTTTGTTCCATGTACATTGTAGCAGACCAAAATTTGAAGAAAGACATTAGATCTTCTTGCGCATGTCGGATAGTTGCCTTAATCTCGGATTGCGCACCAGATTTATTGATATTCAGACCGGACTGTTCACAACATAGGCACCTAAAAGTTTATTAGGCGTCGGTCATTTCTTTGGTCTCTTCCTTCGGTGGGAGACACAGGTCAAAGTCAACTTATCACAACCTCTCTGTGCTCCACCAAAGTCGTGGGACTCCATTATCGGGAAAACTCTTGCTTTTGGAGACCCAACACGAAATGCACGCTCCTGACTAGACATCATTTAGTGATGGGAAAATTATTAGGAAAAACGACACAAATAATTTCTGAATTTTAATTTAATGTGCAATATCATCTCTAAACTTTTAATTTGTTCAATATGATTCATGAACTTTAGCCTAATATACAATATTATTTTCGAATTTTTAATTTATCTAATGTGGTCCATGAAATTTTGATACATATTTAATTTAATCCCCAGACACGTTATCCCTCAACTTGAATTAATGAAAAAATAACATTGGATATTTGTTATATAATTTACGGGTTGAATTGAACATTCACCAAAAGTTCATGGAACATATTCAACGAATTAAAAGTTCAGGAACGACATTATACATTGGATCAAAGTTCAGAGACCATTTATAAAATTATCCAAAGTTATTATTTATGGGTCTTGCTTAACCGTGATTTGTGTATCTTATTAACATGACATTTCTTAAGAATATTCACTAGAATATATTTCGATTATCCTACTAGTTGATTACATATAATATCAAATTTGTTAGGGTGCAACAAGTTTAATGCTTCATGAGACGACACTTTCTATTATGACCAATAAACACTCCTTCATGGAAAATTGATTTTGAGATTGAAAGTGTAACTACTAAAAAGTAAGGTCCATTTTAATAAACTGAAAATTAAGAACTGAAAAATTTAAGTATCGAACCAGTATTATAAGCACTAAATTGTATAAGTTAAATCAGATTGATACGTTCCCACTTTTAAGTGCTGAATCAATCTTGTTCGATAATCATCACAAATCAAAGCATAGAATTTTGGTGATTTTGCTAGATCGTTTCCTTGGTAACAAATGGTAGCTAAATGAGATCGAACCCAACCATGATCAAACTAAAAATTTAGTTGTAGTTTTGTGAAAGCACGTTCATAATCGGATAGATGAATGAATATGAATTCCCTTAATTGCGCCCACGATGCGAGAATCAAAGTAAAAGTCGAAACACGTGCTTTGTTTTTTAATGCAGTAACACTTTTGAAACGTCGTAGCCATCGATGAATCAAATTCTAAACATTTCATTTCGCTAATCAAGTCCTAGGGTCAACTTTTGTCATCCCAAGAAGTCGTGTGGTTTCGTTGGGGGA